GGGTATAAAAAACTAAATTTATGCACTGGTATGACAAAAATGGGTATAAATTACATTAATTTTTGGGGTAGAATTTATAATTTTTTATATGTTCTGCTACATACCAGTTCAAATATAATTGTCCGAGGTCCTATCACAAGTACTTCAAGGTACATAATTGAGGCCTCATTCTTTTTAAAAACTTATATATATATTTCTTCTATTATTGATAATAAATCAATCATGATAAAGGGAAAGGAGTAATGGTAGGATATAAACGCCACAGTAAAATCAGCCGAGACAATATTCAAGGGATAGGTAAGCTGTCCATCAGAAAGCTTGCTTGCAGAGCATGTGTAAAACACATTTCTGTGCCAATTTATGAAGAAACACGAAATATATTGAAGACATTTCTTGGTGGCGTGATTAGAGTGTATAATATCAACAACTATTAATTTGTTATTATAATAATAATTTAATAATTTATCTTTTATTTATTTTTAGGATTCCACTAGTTATGTAGAAGTTACAAAACATAAAACAATCAGATTCTTACATCAGGAAATTTTTCTGACACAGATTTATGTAATTATTACACTATTTACATAAGTTTACAGTGGGCCTGTAATATTATGCAAATAAGCATACAAAAATTATGCAATTATTACATTGAGTGTAAATATTACAACTTTACATATTAAAATTTACAGACATAATATTGCGGCGGGGAAAATTTCCTGATGGCTAGATGTTGGTACAGTATATTGTATTATCCATTTCTTTAATTAATATAAATACATTATATGAATTGCTATTTGATTAATGAGTTTATTTATTCTTTGATTATTACAGTTTATGCTCTTAAGAGATGCGGAAAAATCATTTATGGATTTGGAATATAATTCCTATTATATTATTCTCCTATTAAATTTGGTCATTAATATACAGTGTTGAAAATCTGATCTGGTGTATTATGTGCATGTCTGATTTTTTTTTAATTGTTTATTGTTTACAAAACATAATTGCAAAAAAAATTTATTTTTTTAATATAATTAATTAAATTGCAAAAAAAGATTTATTACAAAATAAAAGAAATTCTTCTTTTTTTTTACTTTTCCGATTCTCATATTGTGAAATCATGTTATTTATTTAATTAATCTCTGTGTCAATACAATAAAACAATGTCTTCCAATTCATTTACACTAAATCGTAAAACAATTTCCACGAATATACATTTATTACTTTCAAAACTATCTTTCGCTATCATTAAACAATTCCTTGCTAAACAATACTAAAAACATCTTCTTTAGATTTCACACTATGCCCTGATAACATTTCCTGGTGGGTGCCCTCTTAAAGTCAGGTACATTCCAAAATTTTCTTAAATAAAATTCACTAAATATTACCTTGCTAAAAGAAAAGAAAAGAAATAAAAAAAGAAAATCATGACAAGCACAATAAACAAGCTTCAGGAGAAAAATAAAGAATTATTAAATGAAATTGAATCCACCAAATATTGGTAGACATGAGAGAGAGATTTCCTCACTGTAGTAAGAATATTGAACAAGACTAAAATTCTGAACCCTGAAATCTTGGTAATACCAATGTTCACTTTGTCTGGTTTTGTTGCAGCATACCCCATATGTCAAATTACTCATACATTAGTTTGCTAATAATGTGTGATCAGCGCACTTTAATATGATAGCAATGTGCTAGTACTGCACATAATTTTGAGTTTGAATTTTAGACACTGAGTGTCATACATCAGGTTCTCAAAGCTGTGATGGTGTTGGTAAAGAATCATGTATGATCTTTTAATATCTGTAAAGTAAGTTTTGTTAAGTCATCTTATAATCAATCAACCAATGAATGGACTATCATACTTCCAGTGTCTAATATTCTGACTGTACTGGTTGATGAGCATTTGTGCTTTTCAATGAAATCAATAAACCCCTTTTTAGAACATTTATTAACCAAATTTTTAAGAGGGTAAACGATTTATCAAGGTCAGTTGAATTGATTATTAAAATCGGTCAATCTTTTATATAGAGACTAGAAATAAGAAATAGCACAAGTTGGGAAATGAAATGGTGGAAAGAAAAACTTTTTTTTCCTTCACCTTTAGGTTCCTTGACTAACTTTAAACAGATGATGAACTAGAAATACTCCTTCTGTCAAGTCAAGAAAAATCAAATCTTGGAAATTTATCACATCAATGTGTTCATCATCATTAAGACCACCCAGGTCATCTTTTTATACCTTCAGTGTCTAAATAAATTTTTGGTGCAATATTGATGATCTACATAATACTGTCCAATTTTATATATAAGTATTTCATCGTCGCACGAAAACGTCATAAACCAATTAATTGGTCATATATATAAATTTATTGACAAGCAAATCCATTAGCAGTTCCCACTATCGTTAATTTAATCGAACCTCGGCTTGTTTTCATTATTTTAAATGCTTTTTATCAAAGTAATATTTCATTATAAATCTATTATCAAATAATAAATGTGGATTTTTAATAATGTAAAGCTTTTATTGACCGTCTGAACCAACTTTTCCAAATACTGGCTGACATTATTAAAAAAAATTTTTTTTTACAAGGGTACAATATTTTTTGTGCCGGGATTGTGTCTTTTACCCTGATATTTTTATTTTTTTTTTTTGAGTTTTCCAACATTCTCGTGATCATAAGGACAATGTCTACAATTATTGCCACAACAATAACCCCTTTGTTTATGATATAATTCAGTCATTACTGTGTAGGAAGTTTCCGGATCTATATAAGTTTGTTGATTATTCTAATAACAATAACGATGACGATGATAAATAATTTAAAATAATTAACAATCATTTATTAATAATTATTAAAATTAAATTACTTGAATAGCAATTTGATGCGCTTTATACCAAGCAGGTAATTCTTCAATATTTTTCAATTTTAATTTATCATCATCTTTATCATCTTCAATTAATCGATTTGATTTATTATCAGAATCATTAGGAGCATCATCTCTATCATCATTATTATAATTTGACATTATAAACTTTCTTTTTCTTTTTGAAAATTTATAATAAGAATTAATTGGATTAGTTTTAAAATGTTTAAAATGTCGAGTCGTATAAAAAAAAGGAAAAAAATTTATCATCATCAATTTTTTTTGTATGAAACAAAAGTTGTGCACAACATTACTAATATTTCCTATATTGGATCCGTAGATTAGGATGACAATCCGAATATCCGTTCATAATAATAAAATGGCTGTTACTGTAAAAATTAAGTTACAAAATTTATTGTTATAATTCTAAATAATAAAATGCCAAAGTAAATAATTGTATTATATTTATTTTCTTCTATTATCGATAGTGTTTATTCCTACAATTTTAAATAAACCATTTTTATTATAATGTAATAGAGAACATGTTAGCATTGGGAAGCGCGCAGTTGTTTGTGCAGATATTGAATTGAAAGGAGATGTACAGATTGGTAGATTTTCTTTATTTTTTTAAAAAAAAAAGCTTTTTAATTAGTTACAATATAATGTTTATTAATTATTGCTATTATTACTAATTGTTAGGTCCAGGTATATTTAAACATAGAATCATCTATTAGAATAGTTATATAAAAAAATAAATATAAAATACACACACACACACATATATACACGTTTAGGTACAATTTTACATCCTCAATCCAAAGTTCTTGCTGAAACGGGTCCAATTATTATTGGTAAAGATAATATTATTGAAGAAAGTGTAGTAATTATCAACAAGTATCTAGATATTATTACAATTGATTATGATTATGATTATTGTTATAAAAATTATCATTAATTTTTTTATATTTTGTGATGAATTTTTTAGAAATTCAACACCATTAATTATTGGAGACGAAAATGTTTTTGAAGTTGGATGTTGTATGTAAAGGAAATTTATTTAATTTACTTTAAATCTATACATATATTACATTTTTTGTATTATTTAGATGTAGAAGGAACAAAAATTGGAAATAAAAATATAATTGAAGCAAAAGGTAAAAAAACATTCGTTGATTTAAAGGTATTTTATTACAACAACAATCACTTATTTTTTTTTTTTTGGTCATGTAGCAAGAGTATTGGGTAATACATCATTAGGTGATAATTGTGTTGTAGGAGCAGTGTGTTCTACCAAGCAAGATGAAACAATTCTAGATAATACTGTAATATATGGGGATCACCATAACAGAAGAACACAGACTGCTGTTTCTAATGTAAGCAAAGTTAATCAAATCATTTTGTATTTCAAATTCTTTCATTATATGAAGAATTTTAAAATATTCATTATAATAGCAACAAATTGGTCTACATGCACGTCATTTGGAATATCTTCGAGAGGTAAACTATTTTATCGATTATTATATGAATTATTATTATCAATGAATCAATACGTTAATTTTTTAATTTAAAAAAATATTTTTTCAGATGCTACCTAAATTTAATCATGTTAGGGTAATTATTTGTAAAAATATAGTCTTTTAAGTATATCTTCACCAAAAATTATTTTTAAAATAACAATAATAATAATGATGATGATGATGATGATGAATAGGTTGGTAATACTGAACCTTCTCCATCTGGTCATTCATCTGGTGGTGGTCATTCGTCTAGCCATCCTTCAAGAAAAACCAAAGAGATTACTCATGCGGCACATTGAAATTTTTATTGAAATTTTTAAAAATAAATACTTTTTTGAAAAATTTTTTTTGTATTTTTAAAAAAAAAATCAATTTTCTTTATCGCCATGAAAATAATTTTCCCACGGTTCAATTATCGATCCAGAAGAAAATGTAAATATAAACACTTCTAACGATATTGTCAGCTCAGGTATTGAACTGTTTTCAGAGAAAGAAAGTCTTACAGGTGAAAACATCAAAGAAAATTGGGATTCTGATAAATCAAGTAAGCGTTAAATTAATTACCAGGTTGGTTTGAACTCCATCAAAAACATGTGTGTCATTCATTAATGAGCCAAAAAACTTCAAAACAAATATGAGAATGTTAGAAATCAAATACTCCCAAACGTTTTAATTAATCTATTCTTATGACTGATATATAAAAGTCAAGCCTTATACCAAACCAAGGTTTCCGACTCCAAATGATTTTCGTTGGTGATGTTGTACAATTGTTCAATTGCATCAGTAAAAAAAATTTTTTTTTCTTGGACATAAAATAAAATGATAACTAGTGGAATTATTTCAAATGTTGGTGGTTTTGCTATATTTGGATTTAGCGTTCGAGTATTCGCTTTAGCTTTACAAAATAGACCTTTACTTGACAGTAAGTGTGATTTTTTTTCTATGATAATAATAATAATAATAACAGCATTATCATATCTTTTGTATATACGAATGAGTGATTGTGCACAAGAAAACTACGTTTAAAATGATGACAATATTAATAATAACTGTGTTATTATTACTTTTTTATTACTTGTTATTGTTAATTGCTACAGGACCAATAACTCATGTAATGTCAGCAGTAGTATTTGGCGGTGTTGGTGCTTATGTTTATCATTTAGAACAAAGACAATTGGAATTGATCGAGAAGCGTAAACAAGTTTTATTGGAAAATAGAAAACGAAGAGAAGAATTTGAATTGGTTAGAAGAAAAGGCTTACAACAACATTAAATTATTATTATTATTATTATTATTATTATTATTATTATTATCATCATCATAATCATCATCGTCTTGAATAACTTGAATTTCATCATCATCATCATCGCCATCATATAATACAATTAATTATTAAGTAATTAACAATCTGTTTTAAAACTTTTATATTCCTTGAATTCATTTCTCATTATCTTATCTTAATAATATGGGCCATACCAATCAAAGTGAACATATGTCAAAAAATTCCAGAGTCTCATCCTAATAACATGACAATGACCTTTGTTCCAAAAACGCAAACTCGTACTGATTCTCAAGCACAGATCTTCCTTTCTTTCGTTTAATTGCTTTATTTCCCATTCACATTTTCGCAAATAATAAAGCGACCGAAGTGTCTCTTTTTGTAAATGAGCTTTATTTTTAACTAATTGTCTAGTTTGGTTCTGGACAAATGTCAGCAATCGTTCTTTAGTAAGTCTTCTGCTTGTAGTTTTTATAATGAAAATTATTCCAAAGATATTCACATAATAACAAGTCGAGTATTATTTGGTGCCATAATTTGCGAAACACGTCACACTTCAAGGAGTTCAAATTGCCATCTCCTTCAAGATCTGCAAGAAAGGCTCCATGAATTGATTTATAGCCCATTTCTGCTGGTAGGAATATGATCGAGTTAATCTATTTACATTCGTCCTGGGCTTGGTAGCTAATGAACTTTTGTATAATTTAAGAGAAATTCTTCGGTAGCAACATTTTTGTCAATCATCATCCTTGTTTTTCATTGAGGCATTCTTTTAATATTACCATGGACTCTTGATATAAAACAGTTATTTGTTAGATGATTCCCTGATATTTTCAAAACAAGTTCTACTTATCCGTAGCATTTTTTTGACAAAAAAGTGTGCTGTGATCTTAGAAATAAAAAATCCTCTTTATCGACCCAGCTTTCTTTTTGAGGTGCTAGTACTTACTGATCCACAGATTTGATTTAAAGAGAGCTTGAAAAGATTCACAAAAATGTTATATATATAAATTCTCTCATGTTTCACATAGCTCTGTGCAACTTTTCTTTCTTAGTATTAGCATTATATTAATATGTGTGTTTAAAGAAATTATTGAATATATCAGGAAATACAATCCTGGGTTATCTTTTTTTAAAAGAACAACATTCATTTTTTTAATATAATAATAAGAATTGTTATTTTTATTTTTTGGGGTTTTTCTTTGGAGAAAGGCAATTCTTTTTTTTCCTCTATATAGTAAAAAAGTGAACTTTATCAAACCACTTGGGCATTAAAATTGAAATTTTTAGAATTTTTAGCCAACCGTCAAATTTTTGCCGAAATATTCAAATTTCATTGGAGGAGGATATTTATTAAAAAAATATAAAAAATTTTCCATTCAAATTTATAAATTATTTCCATTATTTTTTATTTTATTTTAAAATTTTTATTTTAATACATAGAGTATTGATTTAGTTAGTACCGTAAAGTTATTCCATTATACATATATATTAATAATAAAAAGAACAAAATGACAGATGACACAAAATCAAATTCATCACCTACACAGATCAGATTTAAAGTAGCTAAATCATATGGTAGGGCTCAAGTTCAACGAAGGAAAACCATTCAGAATTTCTACGAGTTTGTAAGTTTTATTAGAAATAAAAAATATTATATATATATTATATATACATACACCTATTATAATAATATATATATATATATATATATATTTTATATAAAATGTCAACTTTTTTTATAAGCAAAAAAAATGTCTCGAACTATCTGCTGAATACTATCAAGGTATTGCGAATTTACTAGAAGAGACAGACGTTTCACTATTCCTTGCGCCACCAACACCAGGGGCAGATCCTCTAAACATCATTAACGAGACAGGGATGGTTATGAGTGGTATGCTTGGCCCAGGATATGTTGTTAACGACAGATTTATCGGTGGCAAATTATTAAAAAAAAGAGTTTATGGGGAGGATGTCGAAGTGAACGATAACAATAGCGAAGAGGCTTACTATTCCGAAAATCAAAAGGCTAAACATAGACGTGCACCACGACAACTTTGGTCTGATGAGGAGGTGGAACGATTGAAAGCTGCTCATGATCGGTACAACGGTGACTGGGAATTAATCATTAAAGAATTTGAACCTGAACGAACTAGGTAAACATATAAATAACATATAAAATATAACAATCTTTATTATTCTGTTTTAACATAAATTACTTTAGAATTCAAATCTTTCAGAAGGCACGTCAAATGGGACTTCGTGCTGTTGAATCCGGAAAAATCATTGATTTATCAAGACCAAATACTATAATTGAATATAACAACAATAATATCAATAATAACAATAGTAGTAGCAGTAGTAATATTAATAATAATGAAGATGGTTCACGAATAGACAATGAAGGTGAAGAAGATGAGGAAATTGAAGAAACAATTAATTTTGAGAATAGTAGAATTGAAATTAAAAATGAAAAAAATTATACTGATCCAAAAGAAAATAACAAAAAGAATGAGGGTTGACCCAAGTAAAAATTTAAATCAAAAAAGAAACCTATTAATTCACTTTTTTCATTTGTCATTTTTTTTTATAGATTTATTTTATTTTTTTTATTTTAATGATTATAATTTTCCCAATTGTATATATTTCGTTACCTGCTTTTTTAAAAAATTTTACTAGGTATTATAATATAAATATATTTATAAAATGTTTTTTCCTTATAGATGGTTTGATATTAAAAAAAGATTTTTTAATCTCGGTGGTAGATTTGTTTCCTTAAAAAAAAAAGTTATTTTTCTTCTCTAATATATATATATATATATATTCACCCACTTCTATTATCACTGCTACTATTTTAAATCATCATATCTCTCACTCATTCAAATACCTCTTTTTTCTTACTCAATCTATTAGACGAACATTATAATTACAAAGTTGAAAAATAAACAATAATACTAGATAAAAAAAATTTCTCTTTAATAAAGACTTTACAATAATCATACATACATACACATATGTGTATATGTATAAATAAATACAATTAATTAATTAATTAAATCTAAAAATAAACTAAAATTTCATTTCAATAAATAAAAAAAAAATAAATAAAAAGAACAAAATCTAAAATATTTATATAATATTTGAATCATCTGTTTCTTCATTATTGCTATTATTGCTGTTATTATTGGTGCCACTACTATTAGCACCACCATTATTACTACTACTACTATTAGCATTGTTGTTATCAATGTTGTAATTAATATTGTCATTGTTTGAAGTTTCAGAGGGAAAAGTGTTTGAAGACAATTTGGATGGAAATACTCCAGGCGTGGGTTTCCAATTATATTTACGTCCTTCATTATATATGTCTTCTAAAACTTCTCCAAACTTACCTTCTGATTTAAACTGAAGATACTTTTTATAAATCAATAATGCCTACATATTTGTATATATATGTGATGTTATATTTTTGAGGAATAGATTTATTTACAAATAATAAATTATATAATTAATAACATACTGTTCTTGCATCTTCAATACTGTCATGAGCCTCCGTTTGTATATCTTGATTAAGTAAATACCATGCTAAAAATCTTAACGATATTTTCCTAAATTATATACGTATATATTCCATACAAATATATATTAATTAATCGCACTTTATGATTATTTATAAAAAAATAAAATTAACAATATTGACCTTTGTCTATTCTTAATATGAAATATATCCACCGTATCAATAACTTGTTGAGGGGGTACTAAAATATCTATAAATACCGGATAAACAATCATCCCAATTAATAAAGTTTTATAGATATATACAACATTTATTTACTTACTGATAATTCTAAAATCTTTTTTTAGCCCATGTCCAACAAATATACAACCAAGGTCAAGAAGCAATCTCAATTTTTTATATGCGACCTGGAAATAATAATAATAAAGTTCGTGAAAATAAAATTATATATGGGCTTCAATGAGAAATTTAGTGGTTTTTAAACTTTTTAATTTTTAATTATAATTTTTCCTTGGTTAACTTTTTTTTTTTTTTTAATAATAATAAGCAATTTAAGTAATCCATTTACCAACCTTTAAGGGAACCAGTGTATGTTTAGAGGTGTTAGGATCAAGATCTTCGGCTAATAAATAAATAAATTGATTGATTAATAAAATCAATTTTTTTAAAAATAATAACAAGAAGAGTTTTTTACTAATGAATAAACTTTAAACCTTGTATTCCAGAGTACTCGGTCAAATAATCTACAACAGGCTCTAATGTTGCAATATAGTCATCAATAAACGGAATTCCTTCTTTTGATCCCTCACAACGTAGTACGCTAACTCGTGCTAATGAAAGTCGGCTTGGGCGAATGACTGATTTTGTACCATCACTTCGAATTTCTGTTTCTTCCTATATACATACAAGTTTTTTCATTATATAATTGTAAGATAAATAATTTATCAACCAATAAATTTAATTTACCCTATTTAATGCTACAAATTCTGCATCAATTGCCACCAAAGTGCCTGGCTGTGGTAATTCTTCTGGAGTTAATAATTGAGAAGATTTTTTCTTTAAACGGTGTCTTATAATTTAAGTAAATGCAAATAGGTAAATATTGTATTAAATAGCCAAATAAAATTTTTTTCTCAATAACTACTTAAGGTAACAAACACACTTTGCTATCGAAATATCTTTAAATAGGATTGTTTTGTCAATTTCTGAAGGTAATGCACTTGTATCCATTAAATCATTAATGTCTATCCTTGAAAAATATAATAATACAGGACACTATTTAAAAATTTTTCGAAAAATAAATATCATTATTAGAAAATGGATATAAAGTTATTAATGAAACAATTATAATTAGTTATAAGACTTATTATTATTTACTTTCCAAGCTCCCTGAAAATTAAAAACTTCTTGTTCTTTTACATTTTTTACTAAAAAGTCATTGAAAAGATACCAAGGACTTTTACTGGAAGGATCTGGTTTATTTTCTAATTTAAATATCAAACACATATTGTGTTTATATGTAATTATTTATATATTTGAAAATAATGTTGCTGTTATATATATATATATATATATTTTCTAACCTTTTACAAACGCAACAAGATGTGGCATTTCTTTTTCAACTTTAACTTGAGCAACAATCGCCTGTTAAAAAATTAATAATTAATACATTGTATTAATACATTATTGGTATTATTATTTTAGGTTCTAAGATAATTAATTAATTAACCATAAGTTCGTAATTAGCTAAAGTTGCACTTCCAGTAGAATTAACATCAACTACGGCATCAGTTGTCAATTCTTTTATAATTAAATCGTCGTCATCTATCTTCATAGAAAGTCTAAACCACAGCAATAACATTGTTAAAAATTAAATTTCTAAAAGCATTATCTTATAAATTATTTTTCAATAAAATAAACGAATACCTTTTTGGTAACCAAGATTTATTTCCCTCAATGATTCTCCAGAATTCAACTGGTACTGAATTACCAACTCCACAGTTGACTGTCAACACAGGTGGAAGTCCTTTAGGTATTTTCTTGGCAATAGTTGGCACATATTGTTGACAATTGTTACACCAAGCTTTAGGTTGCATTTCACGCTTTATACTTCTACATAAAATATCTACAAATGATTTTCCAAATGATTCTTTGTTTCCTTTTGAATTATGCTATTTAATATAAATTATATATGTATTTAATATTTTAATATTTCTAGCAAACAAAAATTTTTAAGTTATTTTTTATTACTTTAATGTAATGCTGCAAATCTACAACAAATGGCGTTGTGAGACGCCTAGTAACAGTTTCACATTGACATTTGCTAATAAAGTCCATATGCATTCCAAATAATTGTTGAATCATGGATAAGTGTGTTTGTTCCAATGGTAAAGATTTTAATATTCTTATGTTATTCTCCGAGTTACATTCTTGATGAAGTTGTTCCAATATAAATCTATTGAAATTTTGAATAAGCATTGAATATGGTGTTTTTTCATCTGGCTCATCTGGCTCAAAAAGTCCAAGCGCCAATGCTGACAAAAAAAAAACCAATTATTGAAACAATTATCATTTTTGGAAAATATTCAACCAATTGTTCATCAGTTGATTTATTTTATTACCTTGTGGAATTGTGCTAAAAGCTTTCAAGAAATTAGAAGCTTGGCAATTTCTTCCCCTAGCATTTTCTAACATTCTAAATAAGAATCCAAGTTCACAACAGAGACAATTTTCTTTTGGGCAAGCTGTACCAATATGTGAATTTGTTATTGATCTTAGAACTGGAGTAAAGAATAGCACTTGTAACAATGGATTACAATATGAATTTGCAATATGTGTCTCGAGGCCTGCATAATGTGTCTTGTTATAAAACCTAAAGTATATATTTTTTGTAAAAAATTTTAGATTAAACAAAATATCAACTGTTTAGAACAAGAAGAATATTCCTTTGATTCTTTATATGAGAAAAAACAAACTCAAAATCAAAATCTTCAACGCCAAATCTACTATATTTAATTTCCACCCTTTTATAATATTTAGGCATCCTTGTACTAGTTGCATCAAGTTCTGTCTCGTCATCAAATAATGATGCCTATATTAAACAATTATATCTATATTTATTAATAAACTACAAAAAAAAAAAAGACATGCCATAGAAAGAATAAAGTAGTAAAAAATTGATTAATTTACTTCACGTGATTCTTTTCCTGATTGCATTTCTCTTTCTTTTTCTGATCTGAATTTTGGTTCGCCAGCTTTGTGTTTCTTCTTAGACCAACTGTTAACTTGATTTCTTTTTTTATTGCCAGGATTAGGTGCATATCCAACAAAATCTATCATTTTCATATTGTTCAAAATATCAGTATCGATTTTTGGAGGTGGCTGACCTACTTCAAATAACATATTGGAAGGCCAAACAGAAAGTAATGGTTCTCTATAATATGGTATTCCAATAAGAGAAAGTGAACTAAATTATTTAAAAAAAAATATATGTGTGTTATTTAAATTTAGCGAGATAGTAAATAAACCAGACATAGTAGTGATTTGTAAATTGATTAAATGTATTTTTTATTAATAAAACTAACTCATTTTCACTAATATCTATATTTGGAGGTGGAGTAGGAACAGCAGGTAATTCTATAGGATTAGAAAATGCGTTAATCTTTGAATCTTCTCGATCACACCAAAGATGAATAAAACTGGCGGCATCTCCAAAAGATAACATTTCGCCTGATGTTGAAATATCAATAGCATTAACAAAACTAGTTGTATTTGCCTTTAATGTAAATAATTTAATCAACAGTTAAAAAAAATTCTGCAGAAACAGGTTTATAAAAACCAATAACGTGAATAATGAATACCTGATAGAAATGAATGGCCGAATTATTTCCAATGTCACATACATGAAATTGGCCTGTTCGTGATACCATGAATGCTGTTGTGGAAAGTTTTGGATGCATCTTGAGGAAATAAGGTCCAGAAGGAAAAGGTATAGGAACAAGTGGTCTCATGGTTCGAATGTCATAAACTTTGACTAAAGGATCTATTACAAGATTACCATGCCTTTATCAAGCAATTTAATAAAATTATATTAATATAGTTCTTCATTGTGTAATACATTAATATAATGATTTTACATTGCAAAAAGTACCTTGATGAAAAACCACAAGTCAGCAATAAATTTCCTGAAGTATCAATATCAGATATTGCTCCTGTATGAGCTTGTATTCGGTGTTCTACTTTGAATGTACGTGGATCACGCAGAGTTACCTCACCCGAAGAAGCACCACAACAAACCAACCTAGACTTTTTCATCACTACAATTTCACTTTCTGATTCAACCTATTCATAAGTCATAGATTATAGAATATAGAATATACACATGCATTTATCTCATGAATTGGTATTTTACCATATTAGGTTAAATATATGTGTGATGTAATATACCTTCTTCACTACAGTGCCCCTTGCAACATTAATAACTAATATGTTTTGTTGTTTTCCTGCTGCCAAAATTTCAGTATGTGGCATTGTAGTATATGACATACAATGCAAGTCTGTGGTATCTTCATAACTAATCATCAATTAATTCTCATTCTCATCAATAACAAATATATAGATTAAACACAATAATATAAATTTTTTTAGTATATTAAATACCTTATTGACCATTTTACTAGACCTCTACGGCTTACCATTTTTACGGTATCAGAGCTTAATGATATTACTCCACGGTCACTAACCAACAACTGTCTGACATCGTTTAAATGGGCCCGGAAACTTGTATATCTGTTCATTTCACCACCAAAATAAGAAGTTACTTGGCCCTTATTTTATAAAATTGTTCTTAAATCTATCAGTTTTTTTTATTATATAATAAAAATTGGTCAAATTTTTCCAAGTAAAATAAAACAAGGAAGTAATAGGAAAAGTTTTATCTGAACTTACTTTATCATTACCAGCCCATAAAAGCTCTTGATATGGGTCAAAAGCAAGAGTAGTAATCGCAGGAGCCTCAGATAAGGCTGGGTCACAAATTGTTCGAAGTTGAAGCCAAGTATCCATGTTTTTTTTTCTTTATTTATTATTATTTATTATTATTTAATTATATTTTACTAAAATGCAAAAAATAATTGTGAAGTTGTTGATCACAAGATCGTGTAACAGGTTTCAAAAAAAATTTTATAACATGGAAAGTAATTTCAATGACAAAATTATCATAAAAAATCTTGTAGTTAGAATTATTATTGGTGTTGATTCATGGGAGCGCGTTAAACGTCAACCTGTTACAATTAATGCTGTTATTCGTATTAACGTTTCTCAAGCTGGAGAAACAGATCATTTATCACACACTGTTAATTATGGATCAGTATGTAAGACGATCACACAACATGCAGAAGAGTCAACCTACAAGTCGCTTGAGGCTTTAGCAGATGGTTTGGCCAAAATTTGTATAAAAGAATACAAGGTACCCCAAATTACAATTCGTGTAGAAAAACCTCGTGCTTTGTTGCATGCAACTTCAGCTGGTGTAGAAATTACAAGAACTAAAGAAGATTATGGACCTATTGAAAAGGATCCAGATGCATTGCCTGCCTCGATCAATAATCATCACGATATAATTTTTGTTAAGGATTTGAAAGTTAGTACGATCATTGGTGTTAATCCGTGGGAAAGGGAGGAAAAACAAATTGTGATTTTGAATTTGACCACATATCCAAGTTTTCCTGTTAGCGCACTACAAAAGGATCATGTCACGAAACCACATAACTATCGAACAATAGTAAGAACTATTATAAAGGTGTGTGTATCTATGCCAAAATTAATTAATAAACATTATATTTATTAATGAATGAATCGATAATGCATTTTCCATCACGTTAATATTAACCAATATCAAAAATTAAAAATAAAAAGCATGTAGAACAATCGAAATACAAAACGGTGGAAGCGTTTGCTACCGCTGTTGCCAGAATAGCTATAATAGAATGTCATGTTAATAAAATCACGATTCATGTGGAAAAACCAAGTGCACTAATGTTTGCAGAATCTGCAGGAATTGAAATTACTAGAAGTAAACATGATTTCGAGAATGAAATAAGGGTCATCACACATCCATATTTGAATCCTTTGGATGATAAGGATCATCAAGCAACTTCTCTTGTTGTGAAACAAGACTCTAATATATCAGATGAGTTAAAACATTTTGCTTTTATTGCTTTGGGTTCAAATATGGGTGATACTATTGTAAATATTAATGAAGCATTGATTCAAATTGAAAAAAATCACGGCTGTAAAATATTGGATACTTCGTTTCTTTATGAGACATCTCCGATGTATATCACAGATCAGCCAAAATTCTTAAATGCTGCATGCAGAGTGAGTTTAATTTATTATTGTTGTTGTTATTACAAGTCATTTTTAGGTTTTTTTTCAAGTATTCAAAAAATTTTTTTAAAAAAAGGTAGCAACAAATTTAGATCCTGAAGCTTTGCTTAAAAAGTTACAAGAAATTGAATATCATATGGGAAGATTTGAGAAAGCATATGTAAAATATGGTCCACGTGTTATTGATTTAGATATTATTTTTTATGATGATATTGAGTATTCGTCACCTAATTTGACAATACCACATCCATTAATGAGTGAACGAGAGTTTGTTTTGCGGCCGTTATGCGAGTAAGTAACGTAAAAATCATCTTATAATTATAATTATCATAATAATTATAAAAATTGTTTTTGTCAAAATATAAATCTTAAGTATTGGAAAGAAGGTTGAACATCCTAAACTTTATAAGACATGTGGTCAACTACTTTCTCAACTTCTCAACTCTCAATCTTATAATTCCGATAATGTCATCAATAAAATATTACCAATTAGAAAGAGCACATGGACCTGGAACACAAAAACATTTATAATGGGAATAATAAACGTGACACCAGATAGTTTTAGCGACGGAGGTCTTTTCACCTCGGTAGATGATGCAGTTAATTATGCCGAAAAACTTGTAGCTGAAGGTGCTGATATTATTGATATTGGTGGTGTATCCACAAGACCAAATGCAGATGATGTATCTGTAGAAGAGGAGATCTCACGTGTTATCCCTGTTATAAAAGCTATAAGATCCAAAAAAGGCATGGACAATGATATTATTATTTCTATTGACACATTTCGAGCCGAAGTAGCAAAAAAAGCAATTGAAGCAGGCGCTGATTTTATCAATGATATTTCTGGTGGAAAACTTGACCCGAATATGTATCAAGCTATGGCCGAGGCAAATGTACCAGTTTGTCTTCAACATATGCGTGGCGATCCAAAAACAATGCAAAAATTAACACAGTATGATAATGTGATTTCAGATATCAGTAACGAACTTTATGAGCGTGTTCAACACGCAATGGAATCAGGCGTTAAACGTTGGAATATTATTATTGATCCTGGCTTTGGATTTGCCAAGAATTATGAACAAAATTTTGAAATTTTAAGAAAATTAAAAGAGTTTAATGGCGAGAATGGACCATTCGAAGGATTTCCTTGTCTTGTTGGACCGTCGCGTAAAAATTTTATAGGCTTAGCAACAAATCAACCGATTGCTAATAAAAGGGGATACGGAACAGCGGCTGCATGCGCAGCATCTATTTCCGGAGGTGCAAATGTTCTCAGAGTTCACGATGTTAAAGAAATGGCAGATGTTGCACGTGTTTCTGATAATATTTGGAGGAAAAAATAAATTATTGAATATTAAAAAGGCGTGAAAAATTTTTTGCCGATTTTTGAAATAAATTATTTGACTTATTTGTTAAATCTCAAACTTCTGAGTTCTGAGAGGTATAAAAGGGATCACGCCCCATTGATCTTCATATATAGTAATAATTAAAAAAATTCTTGACTTACCCCTAAAAAAAAAAAAAAAAAAAAATGAATTTCCATAAATTTAATGAAATAAAAGTGGATTTTCAAAACAATAACGAGAAAAATGTAATCAAAATTACATTAAATAGACCAAAACGTGGTAATTCATTGAATTTACCAATGGTTTTAGAACTAATAGAAATTTTTGAGTGGCTTGAAAATCAATCATTGATAAGAGTTGTTATTCTGACAGGATCTGGGGGATTTTTTTGTACAGGAATGGCTTTAGAAACTGCGCTTACTAATTCACTTAAATACTATAATGATGGCACTAGAGTAGAATATTTAGAATTGTTAGAAAAAGAATTTAATGACGGACAAAAATTATATAAAACGATTAAAAATTGCAAAAAACCAATTATTTCACTGATAAACGGACCAGCGTTAGGAGGTGGAATTGGATTGGTGTTTGTAACAGATATAAGGATAGCAATCAAGGACACATTTTTCAAATTTTCAGAAGTAAAATATGGGCTGATGCCATCAATCATATCACAATTTATAGTGCCGGAATTAGGTCCATTCAAATCCAAACAATATTTTATAACGGGCGAAACAATCAGAGTTGACCAAGCATTAAAAGATAATTTTATTAGTGATGTAGCAGTGGATTCAAAGGAATTGGACGAAAAATGCAATTATTATATCGAGAAATTGATTGAGAGCGCGCCCAAAAGTATTGGAAAAATTAAAGATTTAGTTAAATTCATCACTAGTAAAAATAATTTAAAAGGAGAGGCAGGAGAAGTAAAGGAAGAGTTAATTATTAAAGATTATTTTGTTAATATGATGATTTCTGATGAGGCAAAAGTTGGTTTGACTGCCTATAAAAATAAGGAAAAACCTAATTGGAATAATCATATTTTATCAAAATTGTAATTTTTATAATATCAATTAATTAAATATTTATTTCACAATAACAAAAATACAATGCATTATTATCATTATAGGCTTACTAATCAAGAATTAATAAAAGAAATCAACAAGTTAAAAGTTTCAATTAGCACAATTACAACAACAAAATGGTCAATTAGTTGCTCAAATTGAAGTTAAAAAATGACCTTGATTGAAAATAAGAAAG